AAAGGAAAGAAAGCACCGGACGAGTACACAGAGGATCAACAAATGGATATTGAAAAGACAACTGAAAAGGATCCAGAAGTTCTGAAAGCTGAAAATGAGAAACGGAAGCTGAACTCCTCGACTGAGACTGAAGGTAATGCTGTAAAGAAGAAGAAAAAAATCAGAAAAAAAGTTGAGAACTGATGTATCATGCATGCCTTTTTATAATTTACTTGTTGCTTCTTGCAATGTTCGTGGTATTCAATCTGCCTTAAATAGATCTAAAAAAATTAATATATTGTTAAGAGAGAAATTAGACATATTGTGTATTCAGGAAACAAGGTTGTCTACTTTTAAAGATGTTGCTGAAGTACAAAAGTTATGGGTGAAGGGTAAGTCCTTTCTTTCAATAGGTGACAGTAGAGCAGATGGAATAGGAATCCTTTTCTTTTCTGAAAATGTTGCCGTTATCCAATTAAGAGAAATTATTCCAGGCAGGTTAATGTTTGTTGATGTGTTTTTATTTGGAAAAAAAATTAGAATAATAAATTTATATACAGCCCAAGATAGAGTTAGAAAAATACAGCTTTTTAATAAAATTAAAACTTTGCTATGTGTAGGATTTTATGTAATTGTCTGTGGTGATTTTAATACAGTTACAGATGAGAGAGACAGAATAGCAGAAAGGTCAAGTAAAATCGGTAGAGAAGGTAATGTTTTGAAACAAATAATGAACGAATACAATATGCAGGATACATTTAGAATGGTTTATCCTGATCGTATAGACTTTACAAGGTTTGATAGAACATGTAAAACTAGAATAGATAGAATTTATGTTAATAAAAAATTTACTGTAATTTCATATAAAACTAAAATGCTTATAGATTCTGATCATTTGACAGTTACATCTACAATAAATTTTTTAAATGATAAAAGTGTCAACTATTGGAAATTGAATACAAAAATCTTAAAATATCCCAATATTTTGTTGGAATTAAAAGTTGAGAAACAGAGAGGGGAAAACAGTGTCATGGTTCAGGTTTGACCAGAAAACTTCTAATGAGGAGAACTGCTGCTCAATAATGTCTTCTGGGCTTGTCAGACGCTCCAAAACGAACAGGTTCCTTTGGAAGTTTTTGTACAAAATTGTAGTTTGTAAATGCTTAATGACTTATGAAGTAAAAATGCACTTGTTTTGTCAGCACAGAACAGCATAAGCATAAGCTTGACATCATAACAATAGAAGAACCATTTTTGGTGCTACATAGAACCATTTTCAAAAAAGTTCCATATAGAACAATATACATTCTCCATCAATCTGAAGAACGACTTCACCATGCAAGGAACCTTTTAAGCATGAAACTTATGGTTCTATTCAGAACCATTATCTTTGGTAAAGAACTCTTGAAGAACCATCTTTTTTAAAAGTGTATGTATATATGGAAAGGAATCTACCTTTTACATTGTTACAGTCTATTTATTAACATTCAGTTACTAATTCTGTTGTTTTGGTTTAAATTTGTTATTACTGCTACATACATATATTGTAAGTCTTGCAGTTGAAACAGTCAGATCAGAGGCTATCAATAGTCCTAAAGGTCCATTTTAAACCCATAGGGATGGTTACCCAGAACCAGCTTAGGTGTAATATTAAACTAAATTAGATTTTTAATGTAACCATTGCTGTTTAGTCCAAGACTAAACTTAATCCATATCCATGAAACAGGCATTAAAGAACTTGGTGAGTTGCTAATGATTTGAATCAGGTGTTCAGAGGGAGCAATGAAAACAGCAGTGCTGTCTGATGTCTGAGGCATTATTTCACGTGTTTTGTGATAAAGTTTAAGCTTAAAATTCATTTTAATCAGTTTATTTTAATCTATCCATGGTGGAAAAGTGCAAGAAGACAAAATAGTTCTGCCAAAAAAAAAATGATTTTTTCAGATGACTATTTTACCATCATCCACGTTCTATATAAATAGTCATAAAACACATGTAGGTTCACTGGTGGTTTTGGATAGTAAATAAAATGGCTATATTTGTGTTGTAGACATTGTGACCCCTGGTTTCTATCAGCATCATTGTAAGGAAATCTGAACAATTTCACATCAAACCACTCTGAACGACTGTTTACATTTTAACGACCGAATTATACAGAAATTTGAAAATGGGTGGAATTTCCCTTTAAAATAAAAAACGGCACGCGTTTTTCCCGCGTGTCGATGCGGTGACGTCATCGGGTAGGCCGTACCCCTTCCTTGGAGATATAAACAAAAAGCAGAAGTTTTTTTGTGGTAGTGTTATTTCACAGATGCTGAGAAGCAGGTGGTCATGAGGTGAGTTGTTATTTACTTTTTAGCGTTTAGTAATTCTTATGTAATATATTTACAGATCATGATATTTTTTTGTAAAAAAATCATTGAACTGTTTGAATCGTCCTGCTGCTCGTACTGAATCATTTGAAAGCTTCGAGCAAAAAGAATCGAATTCGAAGGTGCGAATCCCGTCCTTCGAACGTGACATGACGTTACTGAAGTCAATGGTATCAAAACGCGCTGTTTTTAGTCCTGTTCTGGCCAGTTTTTTATCTGACCGTTTTAAGGGAAGCCCCGTCACGTAAACGTACGGTTATTCATATTATTATTATTATAATTATTATTATTAGCTCGGTTTGCTAGCTGTGTAACTCGGTTGGTAGGCTAACGTTATAAAATAGAGTGAGTATTTTTAATAGGGTGAGGCCACAAACTACTATAGTGAGGCCAGGTATTATGATAGTAAGACCACAAAATACCATATTGACGCCACACATTAAGAGAATAAGGCCACAAATAACTATATTGAGGCCACAGATTACTATGTTGAGGCCACACTTTGCTATAATGAGGCCACAAACTACTAAATTTAGGCCACAAATTACCATATGGAGACCCCAAATTAATATATTGCGGCCACACTTAACTATATTGAGACCCTAAATGAATATATTGAGCCCACAAATTGCTATATTTAGGCCACAAATTAATATATTGAGGCCATGAGTTGTGAGAAACATATCATTCTGGCCTCAATATTGTAATTCATGGCCACACCTTATTAAAAAAATAATTGCCATGACACCTTAGGGGTCTGTAAGCTGAGACTCTGGGCCTCTGCCTGATGAAAAGCTGTTAAACTGACGCTGTTCTAAACGGCTTCCTCTCGCGCTGATATGGTTTAAAAATGTCTCATTGGTCAGTTTGTTATTGTGGCACAGTCTCTAACTCAGCAACTGGACTTCTTAAAAAACACCTAAAACTGTGAAAATGACCAACAAAATGACCCAACAGGCTCAATACATACATTTGATATATGTGGATTTACAGAGGCATAAAAATAATCGTTTCTACTAAACTTGAGGCTCTTTATTCATGTCATTCAACTGCTGTTGGAAATTAATCGATAGAGATAGATTAATACATTAATATTCAGAGGTGTGGACTCAAGTCATATGACTTGGACTCGACTCGAGAAATTCGATAAAGACTTGCGACTCGACTTTGACTTTAACACCAATAACTTGGACTCTGACTCGGACCTCAACATTAAGACTCGGAATGACTTGAGACAGTAGAAGAAATGTCGAGAGAGTCTAACTGCAGACGGCTACACAGTCGGTTACTTTTCATGTGAATGGATTCATTTCCTACTATAAACTGTGAAAAAACAGCAACGTCGGCAGATGTCTGTCACTGTGTTTATGCTCGGTTTATTTTATTTCGGAAGCAAGTGAAGCGTTTAGTACGGAGCCCCAGAGAGGACGGAGGTAAAAAAAATAATGAATACAAATGAACGTTTTGCAGTTTGTACGCACGTTTTCTTTTATTCGTGGTCACAGTTTCTTAATTTGTTCCCTCGATTTCTTTTAATCGTGTGCACGTTCTCTTTACTTTTTTTTTATTTGTGATCACGATTCTAATTCATGCAAACAAAATAAATGTCCACTGATCTGCGCTTTCCCATGATTATATTTAACAGAGATATAGAAGCAACAGGTTAGCCCTGTTTCTGCTCCCGCTTCAAGCTGTGGTGTTAGAGACCATCACACAATTACGGGAAGAAATGACAATGACAGACAAGTTCAAGTTCGCCTCCATAAACTGGACACAAGCAAAGTGTCAACAGCATCAATGCGCCCTCACTCAGCACTCAAACTCCTACTGGAGAAACTCATCATGTGAACTGACCATTTTCCTCACAGTAGCAAAAGAACAGATCTAAGGAAACACAGCTCTCTCTATTTGACTGATTTGAACAGAAGCTGAATTTGTTGTTCCACTTTAAATGGTGCAGATGGCGCTGGGACGTAACTGCTGCACCATTTAAGGTAGAAAAGTCAACTTCAGCTTCATACATTCACCATGATTTTGCTGTCACCTTTGTTCAGCTCTCTTGTTTTGGTTTCTGTTGTTTAAATTCTATTCAAACATCATTGTTTTTAGTTGGCTGAGCTACATTTACTGCTGAGCTAGTTTATATTTTAATCCTGTGCACCCGGTGTTCCACAAAAAACATCAAAAAAAATTTTTGAAACATCAAAGCTTTTTTTTTTTTAATAAAGTTTAATAGTACTTTTAAAATTCTTTTAATGTGTAGTGCACTACTCTTTGTGTATACCAGTACGTCTGTCACAGAATGGTTCATCAAAGGTTCTTTGGTAAAGAAAATCGTTCTAAAAAGAACCATTGACACTCAAAGAACACTTTACATTATTAAAGGGTTCTTTGCATCATGAAATGGTTCTTCAGATTGATGGAGAATGTTCTATAGATGGTTCTATATAGAACCTTTTTCAAAAGGGTTCTATAGAGCACCAAACAGGGTTTTCCTGTTGTTACAAACTTGACCATCTACAGCACATTCTTAAGAACCCTTTCATGATGCAAAGAGCACTTTAACCATGCAAAGGATTCTTTGAGTGTTTTTACAATTATTTTCTAAACCTTGAAGAACCATCCTTTTTAAGAGTGTACTTATCTGTGTACCATGGATTTTGTTAAAAAGATTTTAAAAAATGAAAAATGAATATACAGCCACACACTGCTTTCATGTTGTTGTTAAAATGCTGTATTACAGTTACCCTTATTCAGCGTTATGGCCTTAAATTAGTGAAGAATAGAGACAGACTTGTTTAGGACTCAAAGATTAGGACTATTGACTTGGAACTCGACTTGAGATTCGCCTGTACTCACTCAGGACTTGAATTGAGACTCGACTATCTTGACTTTGGACTTGACTCGGGGCTTGAGTGTCAAGACTTGAGACTTACTTGTTACTTGCAACTTAATGACTTTGTCCCACCTCTGTTAATATAAGTCTCAGTGCTTCAGTCTTGACTGCTTTTTGAGTGGAGCACAGTACAGGACAGAAAATCAGAACAGAAATGTTTCATATATCAGTCTCAAAGGCACAATATCAACTGGTCAGAAACCAATATGAACTTTAATATTGGCACCATTTCCTCCAATGGTCTATTATAACATCTTGTAAAGAAACCCGTTGGCATGACTAAACAAAATGTGAAAATGTGAGGAGGATACCAGAACAGAGCTTTTAACTCTGAAGATAGGACTCTGTATTCACATGAACCGTGTGTGTGTGTATATGTGTCTGTGTTTGATGGTTTTTAGCAACAAAAGAAGGAATGAGATGGAGAGAGAACTGGAGAGAAGCCTCTCTGAAAAGAGTTTCAGCTACAGGTAAGGACACAAATGAAAGTTCTGGTGATTTCCATCTGCAAATATTCATGAATGTTTCCAAACAATCAGATGCTGTTCAGTAAAGTATTTTATCTGCACATTTACCATCTGCACGAAGTCTAAATGAACATGATCACTTGGCAGCAGTTGACAGTCTAGAATAACTGACAATAAAAAAGCAGAAATATTCTTTGAAAAATGGCTAATTCTGAATATAACACTTATGTTAATGTCTATTTCATTCTTGAATTAACAGGATATGTGCTGACAAATCGGTGGACGATATCTGGAAAAAGGTAAGTTTGAACAGTTATAAAATCATAAATCAAGACAGGCATTTCAATTTGACATTAATAGAAGCTGATTATTTTTCGTTCATAAGTACAGTTACTGTTGTTTCACGTTCCAGGAAACATGAAGTTTAACTGTGATGTTTGTATGAATGCTGCCTGTAGAACAAAATGCGTCTCCACAAGATACTGAACGCATACATGGAAGAGGAGGAGCAGCAGAACGAGGCTCGGCTTAAGGCCGAGGGACGGAAGAAGAGGAGGGAGAGACGGAGCAGACAGGTAATTAAATATTAAATACTACTAATGGCTGACACAAAATATGAAGGAAAAAAGATGGGCTACAGTCTAAATGTTTATTTATAAGATGTTCCAACCAGGTAGGTGTTTCTAATAAAGTGGACAATAAGTATACTATAATATTAATACATTTTAAGACTTTTTAATGTAATGGTTGAAATCCACACCTTTTGGCCAGTGATGTGAAACCATATTGACTACCTTCCAATAAAGGGATATACTTTAGAAATATTGTTTATACTGTTATTAGTACCCCTGTATATGCAATTCTTAATATTAATGGTTGCCCCATTGCATTTTTATGCTTTTTTGGACCAGTTTTAGGCGATATGTGGCATCTTATTACATCATTTCTCCAAATATTGTCTTTAAAGGTGTCAAACATATTGACATTTTCAGTAACTAAAGTCCTGAAATGCTGTAACTGGTCAGTCCACAGTGGTTGTCAGGTGTGGAATTCAACCTTTGCACAACTAATGACGACTTGATTGAGTTTTTAATTGACAAAATGGAGCTCCAGGAGAGAGAATGAGCTTCTCTATGAAATTGGCCGTCTGACAGAGAAACTAGAGATAGAGAACAAGTTTCTGAAGGACAGAATGAGGAAACACCGCAAACTGGAGTTTGAAAGAGAGCTGCGGAGACAGACTGAAACCGAGAGAGAGCAGCAAAAGCTGAGGGCTACAGAACTGGAGTTCTTGGAAAGAGAGATGATGATGAACATGGAGTTTGTAGAAAGAGAGAAGGCGTGGGTGAGAGAGAGAGAGATTGGAAGAGACCTGGACACAAAACGAATGATGGAAGAACTGGATGGAGCATAAACTGGAAAAGATGGAGAAAGAAATTGAGGACCTCAAAGAAAGAACTGGGCAGAGAAAGAAAGAGGAGAAAACGAATTAGCCAGAAAAGAAGAGGAAAAGCTTCAGCAGAGCTGTCCATGGTTGGATGGACAGATTCAAGGATGCGTTTAGAAACTGTCCAGAATGAACAGCTCAAAGTTTCCTGAAAGGATTAAATGGATAAGCCGCTTTCTCCAACGTCCATCGTTCTCCCACCACCACTCCATCACTCTCTCCTTCCTCTGACCTCAGCGTGAAGTGCCCGAGCTACTGTCCAAGCTCCATCATGTGAAGGTGTTTTTCAGAAAGATTAGCTGAGAAAGATTTGCTCTGATTCTCCCGCAAGGAACCCCAAGTTCTCCTTTCAGCGAAAAGTTCAAGCACAAGCCCTATCTGAACAGAATGATGCAGCAAAGACCGCGACAGAGAGACATTGCTCTAAATTGATTAAGTTGTTAATTGACTTCAGTTAAATCATCTGAATTTCAGAATTGCTCTGCAAAGCCACCAGCATCGTGAACGACAACAGCTTTGTTCCTCAAGCAATCAGGTTTTTAAACTCACAAAGACTGAACTAAACCGCCCCCCCTTAACACACTCACACACACACACCTCTTTTGAAGCTCTGGAACATTGCTGCTAATACTGTGTTTACACTGTTTACTACCTCAGAAACTGCTGTGTACTTGTTCATAGATGGAATGACAATAAAAGCCTCTTGACTTTACTTGAAATATGTAAAAAGACAGTCAGTCAGAAAAAAAGTGATATCTGCCCTTTCTACAACAAAGGAAAATGCATGTAACTTGAGGAGAGGCCGGATTGCAGGAAGAATTTCAAAAGGAGTGAGTGATAACTATTATAGAAGTCTGAAAGACACTCCCCTGTTGCTAAGATTTTAGCTAAGATATTAGCTTTAGATTCTAGCAGGGAACATCACCAGGAGTTTATCTAAAGATGTTCTTAAAGTGATATCTTCAGAGGTCAGGAAAAATCATGACTGCACAATGATGTCTTAATGAAAATATACCTCACAAAGGAATGTGACACCAATTTTTGTCATTTTTACGAATACATTCAAAACTTTCAAGTGGATCCCATCAGTGTAAATATGTACACTGAAATAGGCGTGGGCATACTGATACACTACCTGAGAGAAAGGGCACTGTTTACACTCTGCTTAGATGCAACTGGCAAACTTGTATCAAAAATACCTGGGCAAGGATTTACATTATTCACTCATGCTACTTAAAAATGGTCACAATTCACCTCCAATGTCTGTGGCTGAAATGCTCTCTAATGAGAACTCAGTAACCCCAGTAACATTCTGGATGATGCTTTGAAAATCTCAAAGTTCACCAATTTCAGAGTAAATCAAGTAAGGTCCGGCTTTAGTTGGGCTTTAATGCACAGTAATTTTGGCCTTCAAAGAAGAAAGCATCCATGCCTATCTTGAAAGAGCATACAAAATCTGAGAGCATAAAAAAACCCTTCACTGAGATGCCTAATTTCACCTTGTTGCATCTTTGTGCAGCACATGACCAAATCTGTCTTGCAATTTGCAGGCCTTTCAAAAACAAACATGTGACAAAGGTCTGAAAGTGTTTCCAACATTTGCATTTGCCAGACTTCTAAACACACATCACTGGATGCTGCACTGAACATATTCAGACATGACTGCAGGATACTGCACCCAAACTGTCAAAACCAGCATTACTTTGCTTGAGGACATTACTGGCAGAATGGCATTGTCTGCAGTCCCTGAAGAGGAGTCAGGCTTCAAGAAGGACAACCATGATGATGAGTATCCTGAGTATTAAACGTAAAAGGCCGTTGTGGGAAAGTCTCCGTTTTCAAAAGAGTTCAAAAAAGTTTATGATGACACAGTGTCCTGGGATTGTAAAAGTTCTGTTTGCTACAAACATGGACATCTTCCCCTTATGGAGTGGAATGTGCCTTTTGAGTAGATATGCTCGAGAAAATGAGGAACATAACCAAAGGAAAGCTAAAGTTCAAACCCATAGCATAATTTTCCTTGTGGAAACTTGGTTTGGCATCATCCAAAATCATCCATTTTTCAGAAAAAAAGAATCTAAGTCCAGGAGATTTTCTGAGGAAAATGCATTTGTCTTTGGCTGGAAGATTCAGAGAGCAAATACTTCATAACCAGCTCCCTTCAAAACGTCTGCTGAGGCCATTACAATGGAAAGAAGGGAAGATGTTCACCTAGCTGAGGAAGCAAGGGCAAAGAGAGAAGAGAAAGTTGGTTGGTGAGGTATGTGGTGAGTTTTAAATAATATTAATATATAAAATTTGTTTTAAGTATTTTATTTCCTTTCTTGCTTGACATTTTTGATATTTACACTACCCTGTTCAGAAGTGCTGAAACACTTGCCAAGGCATTTCACTGTGTGCGAAATACCAATAACATATACAATTTTTCTACATTGCTAACTTATATAATACAGATTTTAATATTTCAAACTAGAAACCAAAAAGTATTTCTAGATGCTTAAAAGTTTCTGTTTTACATAAACATTTATCTGATAAGTAATATAATATAAATACTGCTGTGTATAACTTTGTCAACTAGTTTTGATCAGCCCTTTTGAAATACAAGGTGTGGCACTGGGGCGTGGTCGACCGCCGTCTGTGGGGCTTAGACCAGACACAGAGGAGCCAGGAGGCGCAGACGCAAGACAAGACTGAAAGGACTGAAAGTTTTTATGTCTGTTGGGAGCGACAGGCTCAAAGCTCATGTTTTATTTCTTTCGATTTATGCTGTTGAATAAACTGTACTCCGTCTCCACTCCTGCCTCTGCTGTTCTCCTTCCCCCACGCTACACCAGGGTCAACGCATTCTAGATAATAATGGTATTAGAACTTCATGCTTGATGTATGCAGCTTTGTCCATGTTTATGAGAATAATCCACCACTCTATTCACCATTCTGGATTGTGTAATAGCTTTCTTTTAATTATCTTAAAGCTGTGAGGTTGCACAGAACTCACACAAACTATATTCAAGTTGTCTCAATCGAAAAAATAGTTATTAAAGGCAGTTACAACTAAAAAACAATCTCGTTAGTACCTGAAAGCAGTGACTAAGCAAATATTTGTTTTGGATCCAGCTGTACAGTGCAGAGATGTAGATTCTGCTACAGCAATATGAAAATTCCAATACAAGTTATGTGTTCCTTGATCACAAACTAAGAAATAGTTTAATTGTATGCACAATGGTGTAAGAGAAAAGTACACCCTGCGGTGACGTATTTTAGCAAAAAGAAATATAAATATACTTTTAATTTGTTTATTTAGCAAATTAAATACCTGCAACATACCTGCTTTTCCCTTTTGCCTTAATACTAAATGGCTGAATGGACTCCCTGAGTAAGATAAAAAAAATAAAGAAATATTCTGAGTACTAGTGTGTTGCTCGTTGCACAGGATCTTAAAAGCCACTATCTCTACCACTACCTCCCGCATTTCCATCTACAGAGGTTATTATGGAAAATGACTCCTGTGCCGACGTTGTTAGATACAGCTACGCTAGCTAGGAGCCTTTGCTAACAGCGGTTATCTCAAACTGTTATTTGGCTAACTTAAATCAGCTTTATACATTTTCGTATTCATGTCTTTAAAAAGCTGTTGCTACAGGCAATACACTGCAATGTGAAGTAAAACTGCTTCAAAACTGTAATGAAACTAAAAGAATGATGCTGTGTGGCAGATTGCTATCACAGCTAGCCAGCTGGCTAATGTTTGCTACTCACATGAAACTGGTTTTCTGTCCAACTGCTAATGATAGGCTACCTAGCAGCTGTGGCCGCCAGCTTACTATTAGCTACAAGATAACTTAAAAGGTGTCTATCAAATAGACTTAACATATTAAAATATTGCTTTCCCAGCTAATAAACCACTGTAGTCGTGTCATCATTTTGTAGACGGCGCCATGCTCTTACGCCTATATTAGCAACTCCGGATCTAAGCTCGATTTCTCTATGGCCAGAATGAATAGGGTTTTCAAAAAACCGCCTATATCGCACCATTAGATAAAAATGTCCAGAACCTGATATGTTTTGTCCTATGAACAGGGTTACCAACCGTCCTGTAAAATACGGAATCATCCCTTAATTGGAAACTAAAATACGTGTTCCGTACCGAAATGGAGAATGCGCGTGACTCACGGCCAACGAGAAGCGCTGTCATCGTTTCTATGATACGCCTGACAGCGGCACGAGATTTAAACTCAACTCCAAACGGAAACTCAGACAAACTACAAACGTTACATCCAAGTATGTATCCCCCGACTTCATTTGGACAGCCCCGGTTTGCTGTTTGTAACTCGTACAGTGGATAGAGATTAGATGAAGTTAGTTTCTTATTCTTATTTCCCGTGCCCACGTTAAATGATGTAGCACTTCTATCAGACGCCTGTTCGGTCGCTACCGTGTAAATGCGTGGAAGGTGGAACGGAAATTCCAAGAGGACGCTGACGTCACCCTCGAGAGATTATCAAATGAAGCGCCACGGCGTGGTGCTGCTAACAGTGCAGACAGACAGCGCTCCACTGAGTTTAATAACTTAGCTACCGAGCGTTAGCTAGTTACTGTTTTCGCATTTTTATACGTGAATTATGTGAAGACGGAGAGTAGCATCAAGAACGGCAGAGAACCAAGGTATGAAAAAGCTAGCTTAGCTAGTTAAGGAGGATGGGGAAATTTCTAAGCGGGGCAGTGAGAAATGTTGAAATTACCTAACCTTAACTTTTTTTTGCTGTTTCACAGATCGACAGGTTAGTATTTTGTCTTGCCTGCTAATGTTTGAACATTCAAACAAGAAGCGGCGACAAAAGAAGCTAAATTCAGCCTCGTAGTTTTAACACGGGTAGTACTTCTGATAAGGAGTTTTAGCCTAGCAAAATATCCCACCAGTGGTTTTATTTACGGGTATACCCGTAAATATGCGCTACTGTAGAAGATTTCTGTAAGGTAGCACAGCTCATCAGAGCACCGCCACAGCCCGTCTTAGTTTCGTGTAGCTTAGTGACATCAAATTGATGCGCAGTAACTTTAGCTCTCATGTAGCAATATTAGTGTTATAGCTCTTTACGACCTCGTAATTCGGAGGATCCAGTGGTATTCGGGAGAAAATTGTACACAGGACAAAACGTATCGGGTTCTGAACATTTTTATTTAACACAGGGTGAGACAGAGGCGATTTTTCGAAAACCCTATTCATTCTGGCCATAGAGAAATGGGGCTTAGACCCAGAGTTCCTAATATGGGCATAACAAGGACTGCAGAATGACGCACGACTACATTGGTCTATATCACTGGATCCTCTGAATTACGAGGTCGTTAAAGAGTTGAAATATGAAATAGAGCAGGTTGCTCTATTTCCGCTTGACAGCTAACTAACTTATTTTTGCTGTTTCACAGAACCAACAGGTCAATATTGGTTTGTCCTGTTTGCTAATGTTTATGATAGCTAATCACAACTGCTGCACTATTTAAGGTGGAACAGGAGTAGCTTAGTGACATCAAATTGATGCACAGTAGTATTAGCTTGCATGTAGCAATATTAGTATTAAGACTCTTTAATGGCCTTGTAATGTTATTTGGGAGAAAAATGTACACAGGATAAAAAGTAACGGGTTCTGAACACTTTTATTTAACACAGGGAGTGTTTATTTATTTTTTTAACCCGATTCATTCTGGCCATAGAGAAATGGAGCTTAGACCCAGAGTTCCTAATATTGGCATTACGCAGACTACAGAATGACACACAACTACAGTGGTCTATGAAAGCTCCCTTGTTTGGGAATAAAGCTACAGTTAGCAATGGCTTCCAGCTAGCATAGCTAGCTAAATATCTGTCTGTCAAAATTCACACTACATATAAGTTCTGCTTTCATTTTGTAACACAGATATTTTGAAACTCACTGGCGTACAAAGACACAGACTGTTTCATGTCAGCAGCTGCAGGTGTAAACAGGGCTACACCACCAGTACAGCATTTCAGCTCTGTTTAAAGTTAAATCAGTGCTTCCATCCACTTCATATTCTCACTATTTGTTGTGACAGTACACAGAGACTAAAATATGGACGCTGCAGCTCAGTGCTCTATGGTACACTACAGTCATGTTTTGATATTGCTTCTGCAGCAGTTACATGAAGCTGAAGTGAGTGCTGCCTTGGAAAAACTAAGAAAAACGCAAAAGCAGCACTAAGAAGAACGCGGAAGCGTTAGTTTAGGAGTCCATTTATGGCTGACGAAACAGAGCAGAGTGGCACAGAACAATGTTCTGAAAGCACCCCCTTCACGCGTCTGGAAAAAACTCAAACTGATATTTATATTTACTATATAAGTAAAAATAAAAATTAATTTGAGTGAACATTTTGCAATACGCAAAAAATCTTTTATTCGTGGTCACAATGAACAGTTCATTCTCTCGTTTTCTTTTAATGATGCACACGTTTTCTTTTATTCGTGATCATGATTTCTTAATTTGTTCTCTCGCTTTCTTTTACTTGTGCTCATGTTTCCTTTTAATTGAACGCACAATGATTTTTTTTTATTTGTGTGTAAACAAAATAAATCTGTAGATACAGGCCATTTTATTTGTCCTGTGCAGAGGTAGCTAACAGCTCCCTGAAAGTGTCTGATGGATTTGATGTATTAGATTGATGTGATAATGGACAGATGCTCATTTCTGCTCGCAAGTCAGGCTGTGGTGTTAGAGACCATCACACAATTACAGTAAGAATTGATCGGCGTCAATATTTCAACAAACTCCAATTAAACACACACAGAATCAGTCTTTTGCCTCACAGTATTAACTTTAGCCAATTTTCATGGTGTTATTTCCACAGTTTTCATTATATATAGTTACATAATACTCTTCTATACAGCAAATATAGTTAAATGAACATAATAATGTTCATTTAAACCTTGACATCATGGTGTGAAACCACCTTTGAAATAAATATTTATATATTATTCTCTCCTTCTATCTGCCATTTTTAAACATTTTTTATATTAAAAAAATAAAAGAACAAATCTATTAAATTATCTCATTGACCTCATGAGGTCAAACCAACCCAGAAATATTTATTCTCTTTATACTGCAAGACTTAATTTGTTAAATAGTGAGGTAATTTATTTGATAATGATTTTAATTGTCGAATAAATCTATTAAACTCTCACCATTTGACCTCATGCCACATGAATGATTCTGTCAATGTTAGTCACTTGGCAGGGTCGCCTACAGAGCACCGCTAATAGCCTGTTGAATGAAGTAATGTTCTTTTTTATTTGAGGGTTGTCCCATTTTGTAGAAGAAGATTTCAACCACTACCCCTTGTAACTCCAAGGGGTAAGGTGACACTCAAACACAAGGGGTAGGAGTGAAAATAAGAAATGGGATTGTGCCAAAGGCTGCCAGACTAGACATCCTCTGCAGGGGGTGCTGTTTATTCACAAGGACATACTCTTTTGTACCTGAAGATCCGATTAATGCACTATTCAGTTTGGGGAAATGTGCTGAGGACAAATTAAAGTAAAATGAAATAATGTAGTCCTGAGCTTGTGTTCTGTGAAATGAGAATGTGTGTTGAATCTCAAATATAAAACCAGCTTGACTGCAGTAACTGTTTCTTCTGGACCTTCAAAAAGTACTTTTGGTGTCATTATCTGTTTTACTTTGAATAAAGCTTGTAGCGAGGGGAAAATAATTCTGATCATTTGTTCTACAGCAGTTATTTTCTGGGTTTATTTCTAAGGCAGGGCTAGCCTGGTGGCTGTGTGTTTGTATGTAGACAGGAAGAACAGGGAAAGAAAAAGCTGAGCGCTGAGAGAGGCAGATGTAAGTTTGGGCTAAAGCAAACTTTTAGAGCAAAGTTGTCTTTATGTATGATGTGGCTGTGGCCAACTACAGCCTGTTAATAAAGCACAACAATTTGTGTCTCTTCTAATAGCGGTGACTGCTACAGTACTTTCCTCCAACATAGATTTTCAACAAACCTATTCCAATGTGAGATGACCTGTGGGATTGTAACAGTATTCCAGCTGTGGAGACCTCCCTCCAGCGGGTCACAGATTAGCACATCACCACATCGCTGGAAATCCTGCCAATAAAGCATTTCTAATCCAGTGTCACATTGCATGACGCGCTTACTTTGAACAACAACCAACCCGATGGCAGTAAGAGCGCTAACCAGATTATCCTCCTTCTCTGCTACGTTTGTGCAGCAGCTGTAGGTTTTGTAAAGAGGATGTCAAAGGGGAATTCCACCATTTTTTTTCAAATGTTCTGAATAATTCATTTCTTGAGATGTAAACAGTCATTCAGAGTGATTTGATGTGAAATGGTTCATTGTAAAGAAACAGACTCAGATTTCTTTACAGTGATGGTGACAGGAACCAGGGGTGAACCTACACTTATCTTCTGTGTTTTTATATGTAATGTTAATGATGGTAAAATAGTCATAAATCTGAAAAAAGTTTTCTTTGGGGACAATTTTGCCTCACAAAGCTTTGCATGTACCTCTCTGCCATGAATGGATTAAAATAAATGGATTAAAATACATTAGCCAAAGCTTTATCACAAAACTATTATAAAACAAATTTTCAGACATTAGGAAACGTATATCTACCCATTTCATGTAATAACTTTCTGTGAGGGAGCTTTAAGAGCTGGATGTCTGGTTCCCATCACCACCACTGTGAACAATTCTGACTCGGTACGTTTCTCTAGAACAGAGCATTTCACATCAAACCACTTTGAACTTTGTTTACATCTCAACCGTTTAATTGTGTAGAAAAAAGAGTTCCCCTTTAAAAGTCACCGGGATACTTTAACATCGTGGGGTCACGCCATGAACTGAAAGTCTGCGGTTGTTTTTCAAGTGGAGAAAAAGCAATAATAATCTGAACAAATTTTCCAAGCACAAGTTAACAGGGATGAGGGAAGGTGTTTTAAGTTGGGGGTGCCGAAATTTTAAACAGCATGTATGTGACGTGACCGATGACATCATGCAAAATAATTTTTACATTTGATTTTTTTTGGCTTTTTTAGTTTACATCAGAATGTGTCATACAGCGCTATAACGAGGCGAGATTATGTACATCTAACTGACACATCAAACCACTGAAGCTCTGCTCTCTCGTTCTGGACGAGCTTAATGCAAATGAGCTGAGTGGTGACCAATCAGATTGTTGATATGTGCTGCGGTAACGAATTCTGTCACGCCCACAGCCACGCGGCGAGATTTAACACTGAAACGCACACAGAGCGGGAGATGTAGCGGTTGACATGCATCATTTATCACGTTAGATAACTCTTTTTAGTTAAAATCAAATATTTCAGTATTAGGCTGCTTTGGGACTCTGAACTGGTCTGTAAAGCTGCATAGCCTTTCTATGCACCTCTACCTGCGTGTGTTTTAGTGTTTTAGCTACGCGCCCCTAAAGCGGACAGCAGTTTTCAGCTCACTGTAATGAAAAGACTGCCCTTACTTAAACGGTGCACGACCACTGCAGTTAAAAAAAATCTAAAAATAAAAATATAAAAGTACAACTTCGTTCTAAAACAACCAGATATAGCTCTATGCTGCTCTCAAATTATTAATCGGGGTGCTGCAGCCCCTCAGCACCTCCACTTCTCGCCTCCCTGCTGCCCTTCGTGTGCGGGTTGACTGTTGCCATAGCAGCGCTTGAGTCACCGTGAGAACCGCGGCGAGTAACCGCTGTGTGTTTGCTGTTTCGTTCATTTACAGTCTTTTGGTTCAGTTCTGTTTAAAATGCAGTATGCGTTTGCTGAGTACAAGCTAATGCTTTTAGCTTGTACGGCGGTCGTCGAGATGTGTTCCGCAAGGATACTAGGATAGACTTACAGAGGTACTGTTTCTACAGAGCTAGCTTAGCCTAACAGCCCATGTTAAAGCAGCAAACGTTGACGATAGTTAGCTAGGTTAGCATAGTTAGGTCTGTATATATTAACGTTGTAGCCACGGACCTGCTGACTTTCCAAAGAAGCTGTTTTCTGTCTTAAAAGTATAAAATGTGCTCCACAGAACTTCCTTTAGGGTCGGCACAGCAACATGCATCTGTGAAGCATATGAAGGGTAGAGCTGAAAGTAGAGGCAGCAGTTATTTCGTCGTTTAGGTTTTTAGTAGCATATCATTATGAGTAACGTTATGTCCACCAGCAGCCTTCCACCTCTGCGGAATCTGCCCAGCTGGAGCAGGGTAGGGATACTGGACAGGGCCCGTTACCCACGACTCTTTCCCTCTGACTGTGTACATGAAGGCCCTGCTTCGGACAGGGACGGCCAAAAGATAAGCCAGAGCAAGGCAGTGATGGATGGGGCACGTGTGGCCTCTCTGGAGAAAGATATCTTGTTCCTCCAGCAAACACATAAAAGCACACTGGAGAAGCTGCATGAAGAAATCGAAAGCCTGAAACGCACCAACAAAGGTAGGCACAACCATTATTGGACTTTATTGGTCCATTTGTTAAGCAGTGTATCACAAAAAAGGCACACTGAAAAATGGGAGTCTGTTTAAATGCTGGTACTGCAGGTGGCACACTTGCACTGTTCATGAATAAGTTCCTCCTTTACAGAGTTACAGTATCGGCTGATCATGGACTCTCATCCTTATCCTCCAAGAGGTAGCATTTGAACACGTGCTAAGTTTTCTAAGTTTGAAAGAACTTAAATATCATTCTATAACAATGCATTAAATAGGGTCTTTCTTATCAGATTCCAATGCTGGAGGTTTACATGAAAAGCACTCTCAGACTGGGTTTATCAGGTAACTATTCCCTGTTACATACTGCACGGGTACTGTACCTTCTTAGGAAGCTCCCATAAACTGACTCTCTGGGTGACCAAACACATTTTCTCTTGCTTGCCTTCGCCTACTTAAGCTCTCAAGAGAAGCTGGACACTGCAAACCATAACGTCGAACAATATGGGGGCATCATCACATCTCTGCTTCCTCTGAAGATCCACAGTGGCCAGTCCAGGCCTCCACGCACCCCAACCCTGCAGGAGTGTGAGGCCATTATCCGGCAGCTCTACAACACCAACACCTTACAGTCTCAGGAGGTACAGAATTCCTTTCCATTGATTCTTACAATATATTACTCCTGCTTGGCTATTGAGGAATATTATAGTATTTTGTGTGTGTATCATACTTGCTATTACCACAGGCAATAATTTTGACATATTTTCGTACTTAGAAAAACAGAAAATCTATTGATGTTGCAGTCATTTATAATGGAAAACTCTTGGGCAGTTTTCAGTGAATTCAGTAAATAAGCATTTAAAATGCAGTATGTGAAGGTGAACTCCAAGCTACAACTGTTATATTCAGTGCTAGGACGAGGCAGATGTGAGAGAACACCTTACCAAGGCTATTGTTTGTGAAGTTTTATCCAACTTTTGAGCACGAGAGAAGCACAATACAAAAAGCAATTTGCTGATGGGAATTCAGCAGCTGTTCATTGATCATTATGTGTGTTTTGAGTCAGTGGTTTCTCTGTTGAAGTCAAATTAATTGTCCGTGATAATCGGCCATATGCAACAGATGGAGGCAGATAGAGATTAGTTTGAAAAAAGCTGGAGTATTTCTTTAAGAATGCCCATATGAGAAGCTTACAGCGCAGTGTCGTATATGAAGGTCATATTTGTCTTTCTTTCCTCAGCTGTTGCAAGTGAAGGCTATGCTTAAAGACATTGTCCTGAACAAAAAGAAAATATCACCTGAAGTGTCCACTCTAACAAAGGCATACCTCTCTGATAGCACCAGGTACTCTGTTCCCTCTTGACCTGATCAGCATTATTGCTAAATGGTATTTCTGCCCATCACTCATAGACAACTGTTCTGCTAATTTCTTGCTTCCAGCAGCGGAGAGCACTTTCCAAAACTACCTCTTAGGCCCTTGCCAAAAATACAGTAGGTTGACTTTTGTGCATGTCTTGTATAGAATGTTAAGACTGTAATTTAGATCTCCTTTATGATATTATCACTCTATTGTTATAGACAGCCCAGCCAGACCTCTGTGAGAGAGAGGGTGATTCTACCAGCCATCAGGCAGAGTTTGCGCAGCAGCATGACAGAAAGGCAGAAACGAGCCCAGGACGTGCACAAAACTCGACTCAGAAGAGCTGTCAATTCCTAGCTGTGAAGTTACAGTAAAGATTCTGCTGCACTTTTGGAGAAACCAGTCCTCTTTTTTATGAATTGTGTGATCTCTTGCACTGTGCCATCATTCAGAGTTCAGCGGTTCTCTGCTTCTCAGTGTAGATAATGACACTTTTGGTGTTGAAGGCATTGGGATGTCCATGCCTTACATGAAATGGAACCTTAGATGTGAGTGGACATCTCTTTGGTTTGTTTTCTGTATGCCCTGTAAGCCATAGTAAATGACCCTTGACATCTTAGTTGCTAGATCCAGTTTATTAGGGCTTTAAGTCACTAAATACAGCAGGAGGCCACACTGATGGACTGATGTTTTGACAGACTTGTAATTACAAAAATCACTGTGAGCCTGGAATGTTGTCTAATGTCCTGGACGGTGAACAAGACTCAAGAGTGTTTTGGTGATTTAATCTATAAGCTATAAATGCTTTAATCTATAACCTATTAATGGACAGACCTGAATTTGAATTTACATACAGCAACTTTTTCCTGTCATGTAGAAGAGGGGAAATTCTGGATGCGGAAAAGAAGTGTGCTTGCAACCTCCAGCCTGGCTCAGTCTCAAAACCCTGAAGAGTTACTTTAAGGCCACTCATTACGATAAAAGACTTAAGACAAATTGAATGTAGATTTGATTAGATTGATGTTTAACAACTGTGGAAATAAACAAGATGAATTTATGGTGTTGGTGTTGACTAAATGTTTTTTTTTTCCCTCCAACAAACCACATAAGATCCTTTCCATAGAGGCAGCCAAAAGCCCAAGCCAGACATGAGCTAAGCTGGTCAGGCTCCTAAAGCAGGACTGCTGTAAGAGTGGACAGGGCCTGAGAGCCTGTGAGCCACTTGAGCCAGAGTGACCATTCAGTCTCTTGTAACAACACATTGACCTCTACACCAGTGGTGCGTAATAGTCATGAGAAAAAAATCAGCTTCAAAGCAAAGTTTTTGATTTAAATCAAAATTGTAAGTTCATACAGATTGGTGCCCTACAGGTTTTTACTTCTTCAGCAATAAATCTAAGTTTTTTGCTAACAATTTCTTAGACATGAAGCAACACAAAACACCAATCACAGAAAAACCTTTTCAAAACATCAAGGAACACCTTTGTGTACTTAAAAGAGCATTTAAACACATTGCCTACCTTGTATTTGTACCTGTAAAAATCAAGACAACTGACTTAAGCATATCCTGCTCTAGAATATCTTATGCCAGCTTCTTGGCCTCTTGGATCACTGCCCTCAGCGCCAGTAGACAACACATGGTATTACTGCAACTAAGAGTCTTATTTAAGTAATGGGCTTTAGAGGGCAGCTATCACATTCACTCCAACTCTCAGACATTCCTGCACAGATTTTTCTTTACTTGTTTTCTGGGCCACTTCACTCCATCATTAAGAAAAGTTGTTTCAGATTATTACGCACTTACCACCATTATTTTGTTATTATTTTCTGAGGCAAAACATTCAGAACATTTGCCTGTAAACATGTGATTGGCAAACATCTGAAATTTAAAATGAGACTACATTACTACATTATCCAGTTACTGCATTACGGGAGTACTCAAAACACCCTCAAGGCCAGGCAGCAGTCTTTCTTTTACCATTCCCTCAAACCCCATCAGCTTGTTGTAGTTAAAGAGCCTATAGGATTGCCCATAGGATAACCTTGATGTCCAGAGTGCCGGACAGTAAAGACAGTCATGTCCAGTTCAGGGGTGAAAACGGTTCATGGCCAGTCTCTTATCTCAATGCTTGTGGTGTGGGTGCCAGTGGCCAAATGACTTAAGGTAATAAGATAATGGAAGCAGGTATTATTAGAGAGGTGATGAAGAAAGGAAAAAGGTTTGCTCCCACAAAGAATCTTATCTTCTCAGAATTTAAGCTTAGGAAGTGACGTCTCCTCAGATGCAGCGTCAGTATAAAAGACTTCCACCTCGTCCAGAGTAGAAGAGGGTTACGTCTGTCCGCAGGACTTTGTTGGGTTGACTGTCCCACCACTCTTTGGATTGACCTGTGTGCTTTGAGCCAGAGAAACTGACCATGTTGGCATCAAGGGCTCTACTTTTAAAGCAAGCTGCAGCTGTGCTGAGCCGCCAGCCTGCTTGCTTGGTGCACCAGGGAGACTGGGGGAACTGGGGGAACACCAACGTTGCTGTGGTAAGTTCTTTAGATGGATAACTGCTGGTGGCAAGTAATTCAAATATATAAAGCACAGTAGCTTCATGTAGTTACATACATGCTATGTATAGATATAAGAATGCAACTGAAGATGTCTTGTGTATGAGTCAGAAAAATGTATGAACAAAAACTAAAAATGGGACTGCAGGATTAAAAATGTGATATACCCTTGGTAGGTGTTCTCTGGCTGTGGCTGGTGGGATGGAACTGATGTTCATGAGGCTGCTTAGTGAGTATGACTAACTAAAATATGACAAACATATACCACAAGTGACTAGCTAACAGAAATAACCTTTCATTGTAGTGTTGTAGGCACTGCACAGCACAAGGTACATCATGGCTAGAAATATATTTTTACTAATTTAAAAGTATTACACATTATGCATCATTAATAGAAATACAAAGGATGCAGTCAGGTTCAGTATGTAACCACAGTACGTTTTGTTCGAAGCACCATGTATCACTTGAGCCGTAATGGCGCACGCTTTCAGATCTTCGCACCCAACCAGCAGCAGATGCATGTCATGGACCACATGAAGATGCAACCCTCCTCTGGAGAGAACAGGTGCGTCTATGCCAACGGTTTATCTCTTGCCTTTCACTGAATGCATCTTGCTGCCTTCGTCATGTGAAATCTTCAGACAGCACTTAAAAAAATTGTTGCATGACTCAGCCACAAAACATCATGATTAGTTAACTGTGCTAGAAAAAGCTGAATATACCAGTATAGCTGGACACCTGCAAAACAAGCATATGTTGTTTTTGGATGCTGATATGGATATTGGATGCTAAACCAGCACCAGACCGGAACTAGACCAGCTTAGATCAGCATGGAATGCTTGCTGGTCTGTACTATTTTGTCAGCAGGGAGTACAGAAGAAATACTACGTAATGGTAGCAATTCTTCTGTAATTGGTGGTCACTGAAATGATAATCTTTGTAAGTAAACTGTGTTTTAACTGCTGACTGCTGTCCTATTGGATGTGTTGCAGGAACATGATGGTGGAGTCTGCCCGCTTCAGCCACGGTCAGGGCATGATGCAGATGCAGGACCTCTCCAGGCTGGATGTCAACAGCTTTGATGCAGTCATCTTCCCTGGAGGCCACGGCATTGTCAAGAACTTGTGAGAAAGAGCGACAGAGGGAGAGGGAGTGGGGTGTTGACATAGAGAAAAAATGTATTATTACAAGACAAAACATCCAAACTACATTCAGACAAAACATATAAACTGCAATCAGACAAAACATATAAACTGCATTCAGACAAAACATGTAAACTGCACTCAGACAACAGTCATGAATGTAAACACAGAGAAGGCTTTTCATGGTGAGGGACGTGTAGAAGGAATGTCTTGAAAAAGAATCCATTACCCTACTTGGCAAAAGCCAACTTCTTCCCACACAACGACATCTTTAATTTGCTTGTCCTCGAATCAGACTGCTCTAACATCCAACTTTGTCACCTTAGCCTCTATTCCTAGGAATCTAAGCTTCTTTGCCGGCATTAGTATCAACACACGTGGATAAGGCCTTGGTGTAAATACAGACGAATACAAGACTTACCTAAGTCTCTTTTCTAGAAAAGGGCAGCCTGCATTTTTCTGTTACAGCAATGATAGGACAGATAATTTTCTCACGTTTTTTGAAGTTTGGACAAGGACATGGTCACTGTCACAGAGTCTCAAAATGTAGGTCAACTGAGTTAATAGTAGTTGCTTCTTAACTCAGGCAGCACTTTGGTGTGGTCTTTATTATCTGCAGCATCATGTGTCATCAAATGTGGTGTCGTCTCTGGATCTGATTAATTTTAAGCCCTTTCATTTGATGTCTGAGCAGGTCCAGCTTTAACAAGGATGGAAAGGACTGCAAGCTTCACAACGATGTAGAGAGGGTGCTGAAGGAATTCCACCGTTCTCGCAAACCGATTGGGTAAAACTGGATGCTCAATGCTTGAATGTTTAAGTGATGAAGTAAACTGAATCCTGAGTTCTGGGATGAGATTGAAAATGCTGAAAATGTACCACTGTTAAAGTTCTCAGTTTCCACTCCTTCATTAGTCAAAAGCAAACCAAGAATTATATTAGCTGTCCAGACCATGTATTTGAGCTATTTTCTCCCCTTTTTTCTCTCTCACAGTTTGTCCAGCATGTCTCCTCTGCTGGCCTGCCGGGTGCTGCCAAATCTGGAGGTTACCATGGGTTATGAGCGGGATGAGAGCAGTCGCTGGGGCCGCTGGCCCAACACCAACATGGTGCAGGCCGTCAAGAGCATGGGAGCTCGTCACAACATCCGCGAGCCTTACATATCCTGACTGAAACATAGGACACAATATGGGGGTAATGAAGGGTTATTTAAGGGATAATAATACTAGTTTGTGGTAAGAACAGATGGAAGTTTCTGGATGTACATTCATAATATTAGTATAAATTATTATTGGTATAATTAACCTATTGCCTAATATTAACTATTACCCATAATATTATCCAAGAGTGAACAGATAGTAGGTGATAAACTGCATTTGCTGCATGGTGTTTTCATTTCTCAGCCACAAATCTTTTGTCTTCCTTAACTCTCTCTTCTACGAGGCCCATGTGGACGAGAAGAACAAGGTGGTCAGCACTCCAACCTTCATGTGGGAGACAGATTACCACTACCACTACATTTTTGACGGCATTGGAAACATGGTCAAGCATGTCATGCGCATGACCTCAAAGTGAGTCCTGTGAGGAACGCAGTGGAAGGCTTAATAATGCTGGAACTTTAGGTTGACCTGAACCTGCTACTATGCAGGCATACAGAGAGTAAATAAAATAAGCTTACAACGCAGTTTGTGTGTTACGCTGTCCTTTTTGTCTGTGAATTATGTGTGTGTTATAAAACTTAAGATACCTTTTGGGTGCTGTGCATTATCACTGGTGCTTAATAATAAATTATATGTTAAAGTTCAGTAAATAAAGTCAATTTATTTAATAAAAACATATAAAAATAACAGTGACAACATTGATAAAAATGAAATATAAGAACAGATATAAAACCAGCATATTTTTGACCAATTTGTACAAAACGTGAAAATTATCTCTGAAAAATTTCAATCTTTGCTTTACAAAATTTACATTATTTTAAATATATGATAGATTTCATTCTTACCAGTCTAAAATGAACAAAAAAAATTTAAAAAAGGTCTGGAAAAACAACTTAAAAAGAAAATGAATTGACAAAATACTGTTTATACAAAACACTTAGAACAGACTGACAGTAAGCAACAACATCTATCACCAGCAATATGAAGACTGTTCACAATTTACTGTTCACATTAACATGGAGATTTGCATGTGGTGGTGTAATCATATAGTCTCTGTTCTCCTGAAATAAATATTTGTCAAAGCCAACTGAATTCTTAGTTAAAGTGTACAGACGATAAGTTGCTTACAAACTCATATCAGGCACTGAACAAGTTTTTGAAGTAACGACAAGGTATATATTTTCTCTATGACTCTAAATTTGAACCTTTATTGAAACAACAGTGGGAATTAAGTTGAAGGGGACACTGTATCCTGCTACTGCCAGTTTCATGACAACTGATGCTGCACCTTATACACATGCATACATGAAGTACATGAATGACATGAAAATAACTACCTTCTTTTAACAGTTAAATATGTGGACAACAATGAAGTTGCAAAATGCAACTAAACGTTTTAAAAATTCCTTTGTGAAAGATCCATTTGGGTATCAATGTAACTGAATCAACAGTGCTTTATTAAAAACAACACAAGAAGGCCACACCCACCAAAATGTGCAATATGTTTGCAATGCTTTCTGTTTCAAATACACAACTGTTCAAAATGTAGAATTTCTTGCCATATTAATAAGTGTTATTCAACAATAACTTGTATAGTGTAGACTGAAATATAGAATTAATTTTGGGAACATTGTAAAAAATAATAAATGCTAAAACTACTTCCTGCAACTTGTTTGAAACCTGTAAAATATTATCATCATTTTAGAATATTTGTATGTGTGTATCTGCAACAAAATCGGTCCCACATTATTGAAAACTTTTGAACAGTGATTCCAAACTTTGGAATGCTTGTGTGTGTCAAAGCTTTCAGTGGAAGAAATGGACTTATCTTGATTGGGGCTTTAAAGCTCCATATGTTTACAGAAACTTGTTCTCACCTTAGCAAGCAGTTACAGAAATGTCCCTTCCCTGAATGACAGAGTGGGTCAAGTAGATTTTTAGCTCTGTTTAAATAAATGAGTCTTCCAAAAAGTCTTGCTATCCAAGATTTTTCAATAATTCCTGTCTGAATCCCCCAAGTGTGTCATCATCAGAGAAAAGCATCATTGTACATATTTTGATAGTCTCTTCTCATAGAAATAGTAATTTCAACATATTTCATTTGGCAATATGCCTTAATAGCTTATTCTGTTTGTTCCAAGCAGTTCTCCTCAAGTAATGGAAGATTTTATGTAGTGTTAATGAAGGTACTGTTACTGCACAATAACTGCTAAAAACATGGAGTATTTTTTTTCAACCCATCTCATTCTTTTAACATTTTTTCATCTGCAAAGGCCTATGAGACACTTAGATCAGACGAAGACACAGACATTGAAACAGTTTACGTAAAATAAATGAACAGCTTTGAGATATTCGTTTTAAACCATTTTAAAGCTTACCTTGTACAAATGACAGTGAATTAACCAATATTGAAGACTCTCATTCTTCATATGTACCAGGACATCGGAGGCAGTTAAGACTGATTTCTTGTTTTAGGCCATAAAACTTGATTGTCCAAGCACACTTTCATGTTGTACAGCTACTGTGGTTTCTGTGGTGTTTTGGTATAGGCAACATAGTAGTAGTGACAAATACCTCCTAGCTAACAAGTTGTTCTTCAAGGCTCTTCAATGAGCCTCACAGTGGAAAAAAAAGAGATGTGCACCAATACATTATTTGAATGTTTTTGGTTAACTGCTATGAAACAGCATTTACTGTATCCAGTAGCAGTGCATTCTAGACTGTGGTATTACAAATTTTCTGGATATTCAGCATTTCCTGTTTTTACAAAAAGGATAATGCACCTGAGCTCATGAGCTAATACGATATCTTTTTCTTTCCCACTATCAACATTATTTGAAAGATTCAATGAAAGAAATTTCAATGCATTTTAGCATTGTTCATCAAAAAGTTCCTTTTTTAAGATCCAAGCGTTAGATGAACATATGCCAAGGTATCAAGGTTTTGAGTATTGGTATTCCCAGTCAAGACAGTATTGTACCTATTTGTCTCCTTCCTTTGGAGGTTCTGAAAGGCAAAAGATCAGAAAATTCACTGCATCAGTACAGTATTCTCAAAGCATGGCATGCATAAACAATGAATAAATAATTGGCCAATGAAAACATCAGGTAACTATAAAACCACTTAAATATTCACAAAACAGGCAATATCCACTATATTCAGATTAATTTTGACATATATCCACTAGATTCAAAAAGTTACTGGACATTAAAGCAATAGTTTGGTGAAAATCAAATTTACACAATTTGATCACTGCTTGTAACTAGCTAAAATTTACCTTGATAAACAAAAGCTGCCTGACAAACAGTGGTGTATAAAAGTGTGGATAGCCAATGAGGTTGCAGTTGCGCAAGCCAGATTCTGCCTGTTGGCAGTGTTCAGTGCTCTCCTCCCTTAACCTGGCCAAGAACCTCCTACTTTGACAGGTAAGGGAAGTTTGACTGACATGTAAAATAACCAATGACAGACTCTCGTTGTGTGGTGTGTAAGGGCAGGTAACTTTCAAATTAAGAAAAATAAAGCAAAACCACAGGAAATAGATAACTAATAAATGCTAGAAAAAGACAACACCTGAATAACTTTTACAGATGCAATGCTGTCCGTCTAACTCGGTGGGCGGAGCATCTGAAGTCGAGATAACAGTGAGATGATTTAGGCATGGACACAAGCTTCCATTACTTGTTAGTTACTAACCTTGTAGTTCCAGGGCAAAAATAAAGCAGAAAAATTTGGACAAAACACATGTCTTGGTTGATTTACTACATTTAAAGGGGGAAATTGTGTAAATTTGATTTTTTGCAAAATTATTGCTTTATTGGGCACTGGTTAAAGAGGAGGAATGGAAGGTAACGGACCCAAGCAGGGCTCTCAGAGCAGGGCAGAGCCTGAATCAGAGTCAGGGTCAGGAGTAAGGCGGGGGTCTCGGGAAGAGGATTCCTGGGCTCTGCGGTACGCGTGGAACTCCTGCCTCAGAGCATTGAAGCGTGCCTCACTGAGTGAGCGACCATACTGCCGTGGAGGAGGATGGGAGTTTAGGGGAAGGTTGATAGAGGAGTATGGGCCTAATAGGAGAGTAGTGGAGAACAGAGGAGATGGTAGGAGGGAAAAGGTCAGAGAAGGTCACATTTATCCCAGTGTCTAGGGGTTGGAGTGTAAATAAACATGGTCAGGAAGCTTAAGGGCACTTAGGCTCTCACCTTTCTCCTGCAGGTCCTGGAGGCCAGTGGTGGAGCAGGGCCGATCTTGCCTAAGCTCCCTGCCTCTCCCCAAGCCCGCATGCTCCATCTTCATGGCCTCCAGGAGGTCAAGACCCACTGTGCACTCAGTAGCATCCCACTCATAACTCTCATCTACTGATGTATTCCTTCTATACACAATGTAGAACACACAATGAGACATGCATATAATATGTGAAGCAAATTTATGAGTTTGAATGAGAAAGAAGGAAAAATAGATAAATTCATGTTTGTAAGGGGGAGGGGTGTCATCCCTCTGAGATGTTTGTGCATCAGCTTCACCTTTTTGACCTCTGTTCTCGCAGGTCCGATTCTGCCTTGCGCCTCTCACTCTCCTCGGTAGTCTCTGGAGAGCTCAGTAAGGTGGGAGTGATAGAGACAGACTGGCGGAAGTGCCCGTGCCCATATGGCCCCACACTTCCCCTGCCACTGCTCTGGCTGGCGTAACTGGCGCGGCCACCCTCTGCTCTACTATCCCGGCCCTCTACATTTGTGCTGCCCTTTCCCATGCCCACCCCTACATATAGCTCCATTTGAACCTCATGATCCCATGGAGGAAAGGCTGCTTGATATGGCGAGGGCCAGCTATAACCCCTAGGCAAGAATGGCTTCTGAATACCCCTTCTAGAATCCATAGGACGAATATAGTCCCCTCTTGCCACAGGTCTGGGCAGGCCAAAGGGTCGGGGGAAATCCTGGGGCACATACTTGTGCTGGATTGACCTTAGGGTCTCTCGATATGACAATGGACATCTGGAGGAATCTGGAAAGACTGTGGCCTGTCTACGTGGATCTGACTCATGTCTGTGAGGTTCTGCAAGTTTTGAGGGATCTAGGACTGGGGGGCCATGGGTATGGGAAAGGTAAGAGGGAGTTATGTATGGTCGGTCACTGTAACGAGGTCTTTCCAGACTATGGCTGCTGAGGGGTTGAAAGGGCACTGCTCCTTGCCATGAGGGACCAGGTCTAGAGTACAAATTTGCAGGCATGCGACCCAAACTGTAGGACTTCACCCTTACATCTGGACGAGGGAGCTCATCTCTATAACAGGTCTCAGAGACATAAGTCCGGGGGCTTTCATAATGCTCCCACCTCTGAGATCCTAAACTAATGGATTTCTTAAGGAAGGGCCGAGGCTGCCCCATGCCTGAGAGGGTTCTACATGGACCAATGCTCATTGACTTCTTCATAAAAGGCATGGGAGCTTGAGATATCCGTGAGGTTATTTTATTAGTCCTGTTAACCTGAACGCAAAACCTTTTAGGTTGTTCTGGTAACAATTCTGCTGTTCTTTCACCTTCATTGACACTATCAGACACTACTGTTGCCATACTTTTAGCAGTACTCACTAGGGTCTGTGCTGGGTTTATGTGGGTGGACTGCTGTTTATCAGAACTTGCTCTTTTTTGAGACAGTAATGGCTGAGAACACCTTTCATTAGATACAACTTGTGGTGCTCTACTATTTGTCTCTGAGGACTCTGATTTAATACTTGCATCACTGTATGCCAACTCTGGACATGGTTTAGAATTATGTACATTTTCTGGTTTAGGAATGATTGAGGTTTTGAGGTCCACCAAAACTTCATTTTGATGACCATTTTTAATCTCTGAGTGGTCTTGATCATGACTTTCCCAGTTCTTAGGGACCACGTCAGGCTCACCTCTTAACAGTGTCCCATTTTCTGGCCGTGTGCTGGGCCAGGTAGATTCTGCCGGTTGACTCTCCTCAATAGGCTCATCTACACTCATTTCAATAAAGCCTGGCAAGCTTAAGTACTCCAAGATAGTGCTGGTTTGCAGAGGAGATACCCTGGCAGGTTGGGGCACAATCTTCGCTTTCAATGATTCTGACATTCTGGCAATAGAAAAATTTGACTGATCACTTTCACCCTCATTATCAAGAGTCAGAGGAGAAATGCGGCTGGGGCTATCACTGAAGACACATTTGTCACTCTTGCGGGAGCGTGCCCGGACACCCTCCTTCTCTTCCTCAGGCTGTAGAGATAAGGAGCTGAGCTCATCTTCAGCTTTGCTCTCATTCCCTCGCAATTTTACCTTGGCCCCTGTTTTTTGATAGTCATAAGGAAGGGTGGAACAACCAGAGGGACTGTGGCTCAACTTTCCTCTGTGATTAAGGTTTGTCTCCTCTATGGGTTTAGGATAATTATAATGAGAGTGTGCTTGTTGTTCTCTTTCTGCTGTAGAGTGCTGTGCTCTTTCAAATGCCATCTCAGATGGCTGAGAACTACAGGGAGTAGGACATGTGGACCTAAAGACAACTGCTTGTGTCTCTATCTTTCTGTCTTGCTTCCAGCCTTCATCTGCCTTTGAGCAGGAAAGCTCATGCTCTCTCTCTGTGGGTCTCTTTGGACATCTTACACGTGACCCGACTGGGTCAGACCCACAGGGAGAGGGACTGTTCCTTCTGGGAGAGAGGAGTGAAAGGGAAGTGTACTGTGTGACTGGTGAATGTGAAAAGTCTCCTGCTACTGAGTCCTCTATAGCCACTAGCCCTCGCCGAGGTGTGTTTCCCTCTGAAAGGCTCTGCAAAGGAACTTGGCTGGTAGGTGAGGTCACAGGGCTGATGTCCCACTGAATGTAAGAGGAGGAGGAGGGGAGTATTTTCTCCATGGGACTGCTGGTATTGCCAAAATAACAACCCCTCCGATAGTCTGAAACCCGCTGGGCTAGGCTGCTAGGTCTCTGAGTTTTTTGTCGGAGCTGGATGTCCTGAGGTTTCCAAATGGGGTCCTCCGACACAGCCCCTGCCCATCTTCTCAGAGGGCTAGCTGATTTGGCACGCCTCTGCTCCTTTTCACGCTCCTGTGCTCTGCGGCTGATAGTATAGCTCTCCAGTTCCCTCTCCATCTCTTCTCGCTCCTTCACTAGCCTCAGACACTTGCTGAGGTTGTCCCTCTCTTGTTCACTTCCCAACTGAGAAACCATGGTGCTGGGTTCGGTCAGCTGGCTGTCTTTGTCCATGGGTTGGTAACCGGCCTGGTGCAGCAGTCTCTCCCTCTCCAGAGCACGAGCTCTCTTGGTTAGGCTGGGAAAGATGTCCTCCCGATTGTTTGGTAGGCGATATTTCTTCAGTGAGTCACAAACTCTGTTTTCACTACAGTCCGAGGAGAAGCTGGGCCTCTCCAGAAGAGCCTCTGAGCAGCCCTGCTCCTCATCTGAGTAAAAGCAGCCATGGCGGGAAAAGTTTCTGGCCATCGCCTTTACCCTGCCTGGGGAATGTGGAGGTCTCTCGGAATCTGCCGAGTCCACAGCCAGTCCTGGAGGTGGCTCTTGTCTCACATCCTTCTCTGAGCTATATGAGCTGGGTTTGGGGGAGTCTCTGAAAGAGCCACAGTTGCTGCCTCCACCACTGCCTCTGCCAGGGGACTGGGGGAATTCCTTTTTAAGGTGCTTTTTAATATGCATTGGTGTAGAACCTTCTGGGTACTGCTTGACAATGAAGCGGCCATCAGGGCCTCTGGATATGGACTCAATGGCGGATGTTGGGGATGGAGAGCCCCCGAGGTGACTTTCGAAAAGAGTGTAACGTGGGGGTGGAGAGGATGAGGAGAGGAGCTGCTTCTTCTGGTCCTGGTACTCGCTGCGGCTGCCCTTGTCAAAAGAGGATCGATCTGAACCGTTGGAGGAAGAGGAGTTGGGGAAGAAGTTAAGAGGAGGGCACAGTTTCATCTTCAGCATACTGTCGGGGCTGTCAGCAGGCGAGCGAGCTCTAAGGGGAGAAAAAAGTAAGGGAGAAAATTGTACTCATTCTTACTCATCAACTGTCACATCTACATGAAAAGCTACATTAAACCACCTTTGTATTTTTTACCTTAAACATAAGCATGTACATGTTTTGCTATCCATTTATAATAAATGAAACATATGGCATAACATAGTTCTAAAACTCTATGCATATAGTATGGCTGGTTAGTGATTACATTACCTATTCATTTCTACACTCAACGCTTTTCACAACAATTAACAGAAGCCTAAATGTCTTTAGAGCACTATGAGCTTATACTAACAAAATTTAGTATGCAGAATTAGCACAACTGTATTGTTACCACACACATCACTGATCTTAACAAGAAAACAAAACTAGAATAGATAAAAGAATAGAATAGAACACATGCTAGGGTTACAAAACAACAAACATATTTTCAACAGTAGGGCTGCACGATAAATCGTATTATCATATTGTTATCGCGATATGGGTTTCCATGATAAACACATCACTGTGAGCTGAGATGACAGAAAATATGAAATTACCTTATACATGCAGCGCCAGAGAGATGTCAGTATTTTCCTGGCACTAACTATTAGAAGCCAACTGAGTGCTTCTCTGTGTTGGGACTGAATCATCCCCTGAGTAACCTGACAGCTAATTACAAAACATCCATGTGCAGCTCAAAAACTACTCCATCGTTAACTACAAGCCTGTAATTTGTAATTTAGTATTTTGCTAGTTGCTTACAGGAAAGGTTAGTTAAGATTTCTGTTTACACATCAAAAAAACTCATACTTGCATCACACTCAGTCACTGGCACACTATTTTAATAATAATTTATCGCTTCTCATCTTGTCATGATAACCAGCAGCTTTATCAAACATCGCATTTTACATCCATATCGTACAGCCCTAGTTAAAAGTATGTATGATGGTGAAAAGTGGCAATTCACTGAAGCAATTACATTTTAAATGTTCAAATTTTATATTAAGACACAGCTATATGTAAGTCATAACCATATGTAAAAAACACTTCAACACAATATGTTAATTTCCTGGAACTTCTGAAATAAGTGTTAAACATGAAAAAAATGGAATTTTGATGATGGCACATGCAGAGCACTGATGGAGACTTACTGTGGAGATGGGCTCTTCTGGAAGGCAGAAGGGATATCTGAAACGTTGGGGGGAGGATGCAGAGTTTACATCATGCCACACATAGAATGAGACAATTAAACAATGAGATGACAAAAACAAGCTTAACTGAAATAAATACACCATGCATTACAGGTGCTGCAAAAGGCAAGCAGGCATTAATTCTATGGTACTATATGTTCATGCTAAAGTTTAAGACACAAGCCCAAATCTTAATGATTGTGTGAATAAAGTGTGAAACTACATAATTTTATTAACTTCATTTTAATTATCTTTGTGTAGTTGCCTGATCTAACCAACTATAAATTTAAGCATGAATTTTGACAAACTGTTGATCATATCATTTATTACATAATCTCTAGTGAAGTTTCAGATCTACTCATTTAAAGTAATTATACAACAAAATATAGAATTCAGATTCATTCTAATGTCTCAACCTGAAATTAAAAAGTTCCTAACAGCATTTATAAACATAAATGTGTATATTCCAATGAGTCTGTTGATGATCTGGTATGAGTTATGCCCTTGTGCTGGCTTTACCATCTCGTCTCTTTCTGCGGCGGCGCTCCCTCCTGTGGCTCATGACACATGCTGTCACCAGAGAAAGGATGATAGCCACAAACAGGAAACACACACCCCCGATCACTCCAGCTAGCAGGGGCTCAGGAACAAATGCCAGCAAGCTGGGTGGAGCTGGGTACATCTCCATACCTGCAAACCACATGCTGATACTTTAACAATATGGCTATGACTATTAAGGGTTAAAGTTGTGATTTTTTTTTGTGATTGTTTCCACCTGATACCAAGAAGGTCTGTGATGTACACTTACCTTTAGTGGAGATACTGACTGATTCACTGGGGTCACTAATCATCTTTTCTCTGCATGACAGCAGTCGTAATTCGTAGTTGGTGTCCTACGATAAAGGAAATTGAGCAAAAAAGTACATTTTTAAGCTCCAATTTGACCTAGATTCTGTTGCATTCAAGTTATACACATGAAAATATAGAAACAACTTGAAACATTTACCTTTATCAGTCCCTGCACAATCATTTCTGTAACATTGAGGTTAACAGCTCCATCGAGTGTAACCCACTCGCCCTTTTCCTGCCTTGCCTGGAGGACGAAGGCTGTGATTGGTGGAGACTGAACAGAGGGAGGGGACCACTGCAGCAGCACTCCCACTGCTGTGCGATTGACTGACAGCGATGTGGGAGGGGGTATTGCTGCTAAAGTAGTTACTACAGTGGGAGGATCTGTGGGGGCTGCTGAATAAAAAAAAAACAAAAGAAGTCACAAACTACAAGTTATGTAAAGAACTTAACAACTCAGAGAAGTTAATGAGATGAATTTTATTCTGTATGGTCTATGAAGGAAACTTGGTCAAGCATATACTGACCCAATGTCCTGATGGTGACGATCTCACTGAAGGGACCAGATCCCAGCTTGTTCTGGGGCAGAACACTGAGCTGGTAACTTGTGGCAGCTTGCAGACCTGTAACAAGGAGGCTGGATTTAGATGTGGGCACAGGCAGGGACGCCCACTCGTGCTTTCCTCTGGTAGTGGGCTTCACCCTGAAAGACATAAGAAGACAGCAAAATGTCAACAAACCTAATTAGATGAACCAACCAGTTTGCCAAAAGAAGTTAAGCAAGAAATCAAGAACCAAGAAATTTCACATCACAGATGAAGATGAGAATTTAGATCGGGGTGCACAACTTTGCTCCTGGAGCTCATCCTGAAGGCCTTGATTAACTGCATCAGGTGTATTAGACTGCACGCCACAGGATGGAATTGATCTCTAGAGCTGCAGTTGCACACCCTAATTTAGAACAAATCAGGTCACTGACCAGACAGTGAACTTCTGTGTATATCCTCCATCGAAGCCAGGCTCCCAGGACACATTGGCATGGTTCATCCCTGGATCTACAGAGACTGCAGTCACAGCATGGGGGCTTGTGCCTGCCAGAGAGAGTAAGTGAACAGGCAATTCACACACAAAGACTGTTTGTATCTTTGTATCTGTGTCATGTTAGACACAGAATACAAGGTTTGACTGTGTGGATTTTGTTAATAAATGTGCTTGTATCAGCCTGTATTTGTTTAAAGGGAAGATAAATTGTTATTCTTCACTCACCCAGGACTAAGATCATGGTGCCTGTGCTAACTGTGGCTACACGGTTGGTGGCATGACACTCCCATGCCCCCTGGTGGTCTTTGCTGAGAGGACGCAGGACCAAGGAACCATTCGACAAAACAGTGAATGGAGAGCGTGGGGCAGAATCAACCTGGAGCACAAGGCCAGAAATCATAGTGTGTAAAAGAAGAGCATTTGTGAATTTTCACAAAATTTCTGTGTGTTTTATAGTTACTTCTTAATGCTTAGCTCTAGAGTGCTCACCTTACTCCAGGTGATATTAGGAGATGGGTCTCCATGTGCTTGGCAGGGTATCATCAGCTCTCTCCCAACCTCTTGAAGGTACTCAGCCCTGGGGGATATGCGAAATGAAGGTGGATCCTATGAAAAAGAGAGGATGATGTGACCAGGTGTATATTTATCATGCTGAATTTTTTTTAAATCTTTTCTTAAAATCAAAGAGCCCTGAGCCTGTGCATTTCACTCGTTTTACCATGGTTAAGCTGCTTCTCATCAGGCATAACACCCTCCTTAACCCTGGTAAAATCATTCACCTCTCTGCCTCGTTCTAGAACCATCCTGATTTGGTTATATGCTCAGTGCTTTTCTGTTAAAAGCAAAGAACACAGCAAAGAAGTTTTACACAGCAGATAAGTACAGTTCTGTAATAATTCTTCCATACCTCTAGAATAACTTTGGTGGGCTCTGACTGGCCCATAGTCCCATAGCTGTTGTAGGCTGTACAGGTGTACATGCCTACTGCATCATCATTGGCTGTGGCTATAAATACCGAGCCTTCCGAATTAACCATCCAGCCTGGATACTAATCAGTCGAAAAAGACAGGTTAAACATAACTTCAGTGTCAAAGAATAAAGTTTGTGATAACTGAAGAAATGCCTGGGTCTTTCTTCAGTACCTGGTCCAAGTTCAGAGAGTCCCCATCTTTGGTCCAGTTGACATACAGCATGGGGGGCTCAGCTTGGACTGGACAAATGATTGTTCCCCCCATGCCAACAGGGAGGTAGGTCTCCCTGGGCATCCGCACCACTCGTGCAGGATCTGAGAAGAGAGAAGCAGGTCAAGAACAAGCTCTAAAACCATAACATACCGAAAGCTGCATGCTAGCAGAAACAACAAATTATATCCTCTTTAAAAGTTCTCTATTGACTTCTAAGTAGCAGATCACGTTTAGTAAAATGCAACACTTACGTTTCACTTTGAGGTAGGCAGAAGCTGAAGGCGGAGAAAGTAGCCCATTGGTGGGTATGCAGGTGTAGTTCCCGGAGTCTTCTGGAATTAGTCCAGGAATGAGGAGAGTCCCATCCACTAGAATCTTCACACGAGACTTTAAAGATCTATAAAAACATGCACACAGTGTCAAAGACTAACACTTACAAAGGGCACACATTACAGCATCTTGTAAAGGCATATTACACAAAAATAAGGAAGCAAAACATTAACAAATATCTTTTTGCTGAACCAACCTTCCCCAATAACAAAATAAAATACTAAGTCTAAACCCTTTGCCCTACTTAGTCAATAAAATCCTCCACATGCCACATCAGTAAAATAGCCCCTAACTGACATGGACATCCTGATTACTAGATAACCAATAGCTTACTCTTAAAGTCACCATGCGCTGAAGTCCCAGATGCAGATTAAGGCTATATTACACCTTCAGTGGTGATTCCTTATTGAGAGACTACATGCCTTTATGAATTTATCCAAGACTAACATTGTTCATGCACACTACTGATAAAGTATAGATTCAAGCACTAGGTAGCAGGATCATCAGTTTCCACTGAGGACTCACTCAACATGGTAGACGTTCTGTCCTCCTTTCCACCACTCGTATGTGAGGTTAGATGGGTATGCATCAGCCTGGCACTGCAGAATTGCATCCTGGGACATGTTCATGGTGGTGTCCTCGGGAGAAATCAGGATGACTGGAGGACCTGTTTGAAGCCAAGGAAAAGTATAAATATAAAGCAGTCTCATTTGACAAGCTAGAGTGAGAGAACATGACCACAAGGCTAAAATGTATGGAAGTTAGCAGCAACCAATTACCATGAATCCATTTGCATGATTGGTGGCTATTCATTTTAATTTACAGCTAACAACCTTAGCCTTTTTAATGAACTATTATTTTTACTTTGGCAATCTTTCTTGCATGAATATGATGATCCTAGAAATCAACCATCAAAGGCGGTGTGCTTTAACAGCACGAACAATAGGTGGCACTGTTTATACAGTGAATTCAGCAGTGTGTGATTGGAATGTCTGTCTTTGAGCTATAGTGAACTTTGACATACCTCTTACCACCAGACAAGATTGAGGGTAAAGGGACTGTCTGAAATTTTCACGTATGTCACAACGTCATTTCTACAGCACACTGCATTGCTCTGGGTTAGTAGTTAATGCCTCTTGAGCCAAATTAACCTGGTTAGGCCACATTGTGTCCATGAATACTACTAGCTTTCTTAACCCACATAGATGAGACAGGGTCACTGACCTTTGACCTGTAGCTGAGTAATATGGGTCAGGTTTCCTTCAGAGTTGGACACGTGACACTTGTACATTCCTGCTGTCTCCCTGGTAACCTTGGACAAAGACAAGGTTCCATTCAGTACCTGATTGGAAAAATGAACACTGGGGTTAAAAGAGAAATTCAGCATGCATACTTGGGCAAGATTAGTGTCCATTAATTGACTGCAGTGTTTCTTGATCAAGTCATTTATCTGGACGTCCAAAAACTTCACATTTACACCTGCACCTAAAGGAGTTTACGATAACACTTTACACTTGACACACTCAGCTATAAAACTACTGGGCATTACTGATGTGAGAATTCTGGACCAATGATATCTGATATTTTTCATGCACATCCACTATATGTCCATATGGTATGTGGACACCTGACCATCACACCTGTACAAGCTTGTTGGACATCCCATTCCAAAAGCAACAGCCCCCACTGTTATGGGAAAGATTTCCCCAAGGTTTTGGAGTGTGTCTGTGTGGAATTTGTGCCCATTCAATCAAAAGACCATTTGAGAGGTCAGGCACTGATGTTGAACAAGTAAGGCCTGGCTCAGAATCGACGTTCTTATTCATCCCAAAGGTGTTCAGTGAGGTTGAGGTCTGAGCTCTGTGCAGGCCACTGGGTTCCTCACCAAACTTGTCAAACCATGGACTTCGCTTTGTGCACAGGGGCACAGTCATGTTAGAACAGGAAAGGGCCTTCGCAAAACTTTTGAAATACATAACATTTGGTATTATATTCATTTAGCATTACAGCGAAATATAAATTTTGCTCTGTATGAAGATGATGTTTTTCACTTATTTGCCTAAATAGTCTGCAACAATACAACAGTACAATGAATAGATCACCTGATATCGGTTTGAAATTTCAGTCAAATGTAAACATTTGTCCCCTTTACACAATGAAAGGAAATGCCATTAAACCAATTATTGAGTAGACAAACCAGTTTTCTGCTAAAATCTTCTTAGTGCTCTAAGTATTCTGCAACCAGAAAAGTGTCACCTATTTTACATTTTTCTTTTCCCATGTATAAATGGAAGTGCTTTTTGATAAACTTCTTATTTTCTTTAAAGACATCAGACTTTGATTTTCTGTAAAGATGTATCAATTAACCTATCCATGCTCTGACCACAAATGCGCTCTTCTGTAATATATTTTATATCTAATGAATCATGATTTCAGTTTGGTGGCCAATAAAATGCATCAGTTTTCTAAAGTTAAATTGTAATACCTGTATCTTGTCATGTTTCTCCACTGCATTGTCATCTTTTCTCCAGCTGACAGTAGGTTTGGGGTTTCCATGAGCACTGCAGCTGAGGGTGAGGGATTCCCCCAGCAAGACCTCCACAAAGGCAGGGGGTGTCTTTATAAACACTGGAGGAGCTACAGTGGAGAGAAAAAAGAAGGAGACAAGCATATATGCTTTTGTGAACTCAAACCATGACTTCAACATGTGGTGCTAGTATGAGAAAAGACTGACTGAGGGAGGGGGAGAACTCTGGGAACTTGGGCTGGAGTTCTGGGCAGCTTCTGCCTGTAGCTAGAAGGCCAGAGCTCATCTCATAGCTATAGTAGGACTGATGCAGGACTGAGGAACTGGGAGGAGATGGGGTGGAACATGGTCATGGAATAGGAAGGTGATGAAGTGAATTTGTAGGGCATCAGTTTGGAATAAGATGGGGTTTTAGCCATGTTCCTCCCCCTAGGCTTCAGATCAAACATAACTAAATTTAATAACTAAAATTTTATGTATTTTTGTTAGCTTTCCCTGGGCAAATCAAATGTGATTAAGTAATCAGAGCCATAACTGAAGCATGACTAAACCCCATAAGCACAAAAGAACAAAGCACAGACAGACTTGCTTTCCCACAGTTATATGTCAACAAAGAGACAGTAAAGGGTGTACATGTAACCTGCAAACTATGAAATAACAAACAACTGCAAACAATTGAGCATGCAGACAAGATGCACACATAATGCGGAAAGAACAGAAACTTGGGAAGAACAGCTTCTCTCTTACTCAAATAACTGATTGTTACAGTAACCTGATCAGCTGTTGAAGGGAGGTGTTAGTATTTTCAGGCTAAAGGGACAGGGCTCCTCACTGCAGCATAGATGTGAAATGTGTGTGGGTGTCGTGAGGAACGAGTGGTGACAGTGTGTGTGAGAGTCCTGCGGACGTGTGTGAAAGGCACTGAGTGACTCTGGGACGAGGTGCGAATGTAAAAGTGTGCTTTCAGGTGATATACACACATACCAACCACATGAATACATGTCACTCAAAGACAAATGGGCGGGCAAACTCATACTCTAATGTCAATATGGGGTCAAACGACACAGATTATGCAATATCCTTGTGGGCAGTGCAACCACAGTTCAAGTGTTTAGAGGCTGCTTTGCTGCTTGAAATCCCTGCTTAAGCCTATACAACATTCATAAGACTACATAACTATGCAAGGACTAATACAGAATTGTGGGAATGTTGGGGTGTAGGGATTGCAGGACTGCACTAGTTTACATGTAGTATGACGGTTTAGAGACTGAGTTCCCCTCAAAAGATCAGGCGGGGCTCCAAAGTTCGACTTGACACACACATGATATTTTATTTACACACAAGCATGCAAAAAGTGAAAGAAAATACTGGAACCATGAAATAAACGGATTGCACTGCAATTAAAATGACTAGGACAAAAATGGATTATTTCCAAGCATCTACGCAGTCCCCTATGCATATTCCTGGCTAAGTGTCAGCCAGCTTGTGCCGGCGGCCGCAAGGCCACATAGACACATCCTCTCTCCCTCTCTGAATGAATTTCACCCCCCTTTTAACCCCCAACCCATCTGGTTAACCCAAACCATTCCCCAGGGCAAGTGAGGGGACACACAAAACAAACAATAACCAAACAACTTCAGGATAATTAAGACAATACAAATAATACACATAACAAGAAGCTTCCTCATACCGGTCATCATATTCATTTATATATTAATTTACTCCTAACCCTTTTTCTGTCTTTCCCCACAGGTTCTCGGATCACACCTCCCCCTTTCTACACACAGCCGTGGGCTCTACTGGCCAGTATAAGGGAAGCCCTGGAAGGCGCCTGAGCTCCCCTGAGGATCAGGACAGGACAAGGTAAGTATTTCTTCTATGTACATTTTACTATAGTCTAGGTTTCAATCCAGTCATTGTCCCCCTTTTTATGCCCCGGTGTCCTTTCACAATCTTGGTGATGGGACAGATTTACTGACCCCATCACAAGAATATACAGCAATATTGAATGAAGCATAAATGCATACAGGATATACTCTCCACTTACTGTCCACTTTATTAGACACACCTACATTGAGAATGCAACTTGCTGGTATACAGTTAGACATGCAGCATATGAATCTGTTGATGCACAATTTGTGTAAGACATTGTCTAGCTCTTTATCAATGGTCAATTTCTGACCACACACCTACTCTTGGTTGGATATTTTTGGGTAACAAATCACTTTCAACCAGCAGTAACACTGATGGATGTAAAATCCTGGACGATCCAATCCTAAATGGATAGCACTAAGTGGAGGTGTGATCAAATGGCTCCAATCTCCTACATAGGTGGCCAGAAAACAACATTGCTGGTGTGAGTGCTAAAGAGATGTGTTCCCAACAGCATCGAAGGACAAGCTTAATAAACTGCATAATCACAGAAGAGTCAGTACAGACATTAGTTTTTTTCTTCATCTCCACTCCCGTTTATTTATAAGTTGTCAGCAGTCCTTGTGATCTAAACATTTGTAACATGTACATTAACAAGGAATCATACGACTTTTTGTCTGACAACAAACGCAGCTGAGCCTGACGTAGCAAATGTGCTTGGCACACTATATCCAGTCATGAAATCTGCTCATACGTGGTGACTGAAGATGCGTAACACACCCATGGAAATGTCAGGTGTGAATGGCTGCACGTCTCTCTGTCCAGCTGTGATCAGATCACTTGAGATGGAGGTTAATACCAAGTATAAACAGGGCCTATATACAGTCGTACACAAAAGTTTGGGCACATTTTATGTTTTATTGTTGCCAATATGTTAAACTCAGCACCATATTTAAGTTAGTTCTCTGCAGAAGATATGTTGATTTATTTACACATAGAAACTTTAAGCAGCACTGTGCAACACCTCTCTGGTGGAAATCTGTAATTGCATGCAACGTGCAGAGGAAAATTTTGTATTGTCAGTTGTGCTTTGGATTCCCACGATCGGATGAATCTGATTGCGAGCAAGCTGAAAGAGTATTCAAATTCAGTCAAAACTCGGTGACCGTGTCTTCTGAGGATATTATTGTCATTGGTGTAATGTTGATTTTGCAGTTGAGTCCTAAGCATCAAGTTAGACCTTCTTTTTGAGTCTGTGCGTGTGACGTTAACATGTAAAGACCTATGACATGGTCTAAAAATTTCTGTCCTGCCACCTCTGAATTTTAAATTATTATTTCAGGCTTTACACGTCATCTCGCAGCAGCGCACACACACCATATTAGAACATGTTTTTCTCCTGAGTCGCTACTTCTTTCAGTTTTGACAAACAAAAAAAATTACATAGTGCTGCATTAGTTAAGAAATATGTGATAGGAAGATGTATTCAAATCTTTGCATGCAACTATAGATACGATTATGGAAACCCATGAACACTTAACTGTCTACAGAAAGCACTTAGTTATACCACACAGCAGAAATTCAACCTAACAAATAAATCTGGCCTCAGGCTCTAATAAGCCAAATAAGTGCTGTCAAACCTGTAATGGATAGGAAAATCCATGTGCCATTCCTGAACTCGTCCGTGGTTCTGTCCAGCAGAAGGATGCGACACTCAAACCAGCCCTCATCCTCCAGAGTCAACCTATCCACCAGCAGCGATGCTCCCTGTGTCAAAGACACCCGGCCTGAACAAAGAGTGAGTGAAAGAGAAAGGGAAGTTAACAAATTTTAGTAAGAAGATTATGTACATGTTTTTCTAAGCCATTTTAAAATCTGCTAAGATTATCTCTGGTCGAAGAACAAAGAGGAAATTTGTGGTTGACACATGGACAAATCAGGGGGCTGCAAAATAAGCAGACGCATTAGGAAAGACAAGAAATGCCAAAGCACTCAAGTCAGAGACACCTAAAAGGAAGTGATCACACATATAATCTATTGGGAACCTGGCCCGTCATTCTGAGCTTAAGAACACAGGCTGTGTAGAATAACCACAGTCTTTCAGATACCCTGTTACCCTTGACAGGCATAAATACACAGCGAATAGCCAAGCACTTAGCAGTGTCTGGGTTTATTGTTAGGTGCTTTACTTTGAATTCAAGTATGCTATCACAGAATAACTAAAAACATGGGAACTGAAAACTCGCACTAAAAGCTGAACGAGAACACTCGAATTCGCATCGCTGTCATTTCACATGCCTTTGCGGAATGTGGAATGCATGAAAAGATGTAATGAAGAATTCACTGGAGGGAATGGAGTTTTCTGTAAGACCAGTGAGAGGAGCCAAGAATGAACAGAAAGCGAGAAGCATTTGATGCATTGTTTCTGTTTTGTTACATGTGACCAAAAATTGATATGCATAAATATCATCAGCAAAGACAAACTATTATCAACCAAACATGAAACGTACAATAAGCATATTCAACAGACACTCAAGGACACACACACAAATCCCTCTCAAAGCTGACCCCCACTCGTCAACCCCCCCTTTTCTGGCCACCGTTCTCCTTTTCTTCACATTCTACTTCTGACAACTCCTGGCTCTTTGAAACTTGATCTGTGTGTTGCCTGGTTACGGAAGCCGCTCTTTCAAAGCACTGACCAGGCCCTGTTTCCTCTAGCAGGCCTCCCCACTTCATTCATTATCTATCTGTCTTGTTGACGGCTTTTTTCAAAATTTCAGGGTTTTAAACGATAACACCACGGACGCCGATTGGGTCCAAACAGGGGACATTTAATGCTTCCAGGAGGCAACAGTTATAATTTGAAAGCAAGCCATGTGTCGTAATGACGCTGAAAAGAAAACTCAAAATGAAAATTACTCAGTGTCAACTTTCATCATAAAACAAAATGACTAAATGCGGGACCGAAATGTTCCATGCATGTGAGTCAATGTTCAGATGGTTCACACTTCGACAAATGGATACAAGGTCTCTTCTCATTGGCTTCATTTAGAGGTGAAAAGTCAAAGTCAAAAGCAGGCTTGTCTCAGACAATTACAGTCTAAAATGTCTGCAAGAAGCACTAGTACAGTGGTGCGTATACGCAGGTATACGGCATATACCCAGCATACACACCTAAGCGTGGCCAGAGATACACTTGTGTCTGTGTTTTATGCTAGAGTGTGATTTGACCATGATGGAGAGCAAATGTGTCACATTCATCCAATTGCGAATCATATAACTAGCATGTGATTTATGTGCTGCAATGTTTTCTCTGTCATTCTTTTTCCTTCCATTATGCACTACAGTCATTGAAGGTTGCCAGCTCAGCCCTGCAAAACACCAGGACACAATCAGTGGCTTGATTTTTTTTTTTATAAATTCAGCAGACTAGCTATGCTCAGAATGCAGTCTACGATAGCTATACAACCTATTCTTCTCAGTTATTGGATTGCAGTGCTGCCTAGGGCCTAAATCTGTCACCAACAGTGCACCTTTCTGAAGCAACTGTCCCTCCATCGACTGTAATCTGAACCAATCAAACCAATTATTTGTATACAAATGATTTAATGGGATAAACAGAAGAGGTTTAAACTTCATAAAAATGCTAACATGCTTGGATTCCAGGACAATCAAAATCCAGGACAATCTAGGAAAATCCTGGATGGATTGCAACCTTAGTCATGGATAAAATGATGATAAAAGATAATGCTAGCTATTATGGCAAAAATGTAGGAATGAACACATCAAACTACATCATTTTATAAATAATTATGATGAAAGTAACACCAACATCTACATTCTAGCCCAACAAATCATCTTAGAGATTCACTATATCATGTTATTCTCATATCTTTTGTTTATAGGCCCTTTGGTAACAGAGTATTCTAGAAAATGTTGTGTGTTCAAAGTGTGTGGCTGGATGCACACTTGCTGGCACGGGGGTCCCTAAGACGGCAAAATATATCCACCTGTTTAGACATCATTACATCACTGACAGGAACATTATTAACAGTGCTGTACTACACAGTAATTTGCTGTATTGTGTGATCTCTTGGTTAATAGTTAACAAGAGTAATAATATAGATTGTACGGACTAGGTTAATAATTCAATTTATTGTATTATTACTACTTGTTGAATATTAACTCTCTTCATTATACTGTACATATGTATAATTGCAGTAAAACTGAACTGAACAACCCATGCTCACATTCTTAACAATCATGTCTATTATATGATCATGAGAATGTAAAACTAACCAATATTCTACCATAATTGTTTTTAAAAGCATCTTACGCCAGACTTGCATTGTACAAACCAGACAAAATTCATTTAATTTGAGCTTTGTCATAATGACAGGACAAGAAAAAAAAATATATATATATATATGCAATGTAACCTAAAGGCTATTTGCAACACAAGGGACTGCTCTTGTGCTGCAAAGCCTGGCAATAAAGTAAGGAGTCTCTTAGCCTGGGGGACTATTTTTCAAAGCACCATGTTAAATTAGTACATACACTGACTATGAATAAGCCTCAGCATGGCCTGGGGCTGTCATTCTGTGTAAACTTTTGCATTCTGGCAGGAGATAAATGATGAAGGGGTTTGCATGATAAAGGCCCCAGTTCCACCACTTTAAAGGGAGTTAAACAGAGGCGTCACTTTTAAAGGGAGTGTCTGTGTTTACGCTCTCATAAAAAGGGGCGCTGTGATGGAGGATCAGGAAGGGTAAAGTGGTTATTAAAAGAGCAGGAAGAGGGCAAATGTGCATGAAGGTGATAGCAGGTGTGATGGAGCCTGGGCAGAATCTGTTCTTATCTCTTGTCTGAGCTCCTCCCTTCTCTTCCCATTTCCTCCCAGCTGGTTTGTGGTCCAAACAGTGGTGGAGAATATTCTGCACAGGGTGCAATTACAAACCCCAATCACAAACTGCAGTCCTGAAAGTTAGTCTCTTAGCTGTTCTTCACAACGAACTCACAGAACTAGAGTCTGATCCACAAATATGAGTTAGCTGACAAAATTTGTCAATTTTAATATTTAGATTCCACATATTTATAAATCTGGGCAAGAATTCTGACCCTGCTTTAAAGTTGCATATTTTGTTTTTAAAACAATTCACGTTTAATGTGAGGAAAAAACATTCAGTAAAGCAACTTTTAAGAAAAACCCAGACTGTGTATAATTTTTGACTACCAAAACGTATTTCAGTTGGTATTATCGGTTTCTGTACCGGTGAAAACCCTTTCATATCAGAAGGCCCTCCATAAGATGGCTTACTGTGAGCAAACAGAATGATTAACTTTTTAAGTCCATTTAACAAGATAATCTGGTTTTATTCAACTAAAGTCGAAGACTTTAAGTGAGCATAAATCTATGTGCATACTCTCACACACACAAATTAGCTGAATGAATGTGCAATATCTTCAGCTCTGCACATGCTAAGCCAACTGGTGTGGTGAGAATTCTAGCCCCTCTATTAGACACTTTAACCCTTTCCTGCTGCGGACTGTCAGTCCATCAATGGGAGTTAGAATGCAGCTCACTGCCGCCTCTCTTAAATCTCAGGTTTCCATAGTGATGGAACCAGGGGCTGGGAGTTTGGATTTGAATTCAGTTGCTGTAGAAACACAGGCCACGGCGAAAGGACTGAGAGGGAGGGCGTATCACAAGGGGAGTGTGTTTGTGTCTGTGATTTTGAAAAATGACACGTAGGGGAGGAAAAAAAGGCAGTGTTTTGATTCAAATTGGCTAAAGGCTCATGACAGATAAGGCCAAAGGCAAATGGGAGAAGTGGGGGAGAAAAAAGAGAGAGAGAGAGAGAGAGAGAGAGAGAGAGAGAGGGCTGTTTTTATTTGAATCACAGCTCAAACAAAAGCTATGCCAGTAAGTGACAGATGCAGGTTTGTTTGGGTTTAAATGAGGAATTTGGCTTTGGGCTCTGTCGCCTAGCATCTTTCAAAAAATGCTAAACTTTTCAAATTTGCATATGATCAAAATTAATACAATATGTGTGCAACCCAATTAAACTCTACCCAATTTGTAGCACCTGCTCTGCTATTTAAAGAAAAGAAAATACATACATTTATGCAGGCCTAATTTGATTTTCAAATTCAGTTTTGACAATTAGTGATGATTAGCGCACACACAACCCAAAAAAAAACAACAACAAAAAAACCAAAAAAACAAAAAAAAACCTGCACATAAAAATCGAACTCTGCACTGCAGAAATTCCTTAAGAGGTTTAAGTGGGGACTGCTGGATCAATAAACTCTCCACAGCCAATGAGCACTACGCAACCTTTGACCTCCCTTACCCCATAATTTTTGTCCAGACGCGTCCATCACTCCACACAGTGCTATACTGGCATAATGGCCTGTTCATCTGGGCCACGGCAACCAATCACGGCGCGGGAATCCCAGACAAAGACAATGAGATGCAGGTTGCTCTTCTTCCTCAGCAACTACCCACTCCACCTCTATTCTTCTTCCCCTGTTCTCGCACTCTGTCTCTTCTGTTCCTTCTGTCTTTAGTATCCTTATCTCTTCACTCTTATTTCCCTCTCTCACACCACTTCCTACTCATAATTTGCTTCCTTTTCTTTCGGTCTTAGCTCTCCACCCCTAACATATATTTTTTGTCTTTCAATTTTTTTTCTCTTTCTGTTTGCCATTCCTGTTAATTTACACCTGTGTTCTTCTTTCCATCTTTTCCATCTATTTTCCATCTTCTGTCTTTCCATGTGAC